CCAATACCCTGCCACCACTTATCATACCTACAACACTCAACCTGCATATTACCATTTACCTCCACCCACCCGCCAAAACTACCCAAATCCACATCCTAATTTTGACCACAGACCGCCCAGACAGTACACCCCAATTGCTGAACCCATAGCCCAACTATATGAGAGACTGAAGGCCTCTAGTTATGTCACCTCTATTCCTGCTATTGTTGTGGAAAATCCTTCCCAATGGGTCAAACCCAACAAAACATGTGATCATCATTCAGGCATGAAGGTTCATACCATTGAGGAGTGCCACAAGTTGAAAGACAAAATTTAGACGCTGATCGACACTAAGGTTATACAAGCAAAGGAAGTTGCACCAAATGTTTGCAACAACTCTCTCCCGGATCACAGAGGTGAGGGAGTGAGTGTGATAGAAACTGATGAGGGGTGGGATCAGGAAGGGTCCATTGGACTCATTCGAGAGGGAGACGCTCCTAAAACATCTCCAGTCACCCTCGCACTAGTTGTGGTTCAAACTCAGGTGCCATTTGAAGTTGAGGTAGCTACACCCTTCACTGTAATGGTAGCTCCCACACCATCTTACAAGTTTGATGCCATCCCGTGGGATTATGTTGTAGAAGCAAGGAGAAAGGGAAAAGCCAAAATGGAAGAAATAGGTGTCGCATAAGGTATGACTAGGACTGGCAGAGTTTACACACTTGAGAATCTGGGAGGAACGAGCAAATAAGCTGCACCTAAGCCGTATATTGTTGAGACTGGCACTAGCGATCTCTGGAGGAAGATACAAGCAAGGGATTACTCTATTGTTGACCACTTGAACAAAACTCCCGCTCAGATATCCATCTTATCACTGTTGCAAAACTCAAACGTGCATATGAATGCTTTGATGAAGGTGTTGAATGAAGCTTTTATACCCACCGACATCACTAGTGGAGATATGGCTAACATGGTCAGACATGTATTGGAGAGCCACAAAATCACTTTCCATGAAAATGAGTTACCACCAGAAGGATTGAGTCACAACAGGGCGTTGCACATCACAGTGCAATTCGAAGATAAGTTCATCGCCAGGGTCTTGATAGATGGAGTTTTGAGTCTGAATATATGTCCACTGACCATCTAAAGAGATTGGGTAAAATCCTGCACGAGATACAAATGGGAAGCATGAATGTGAAGGCGTTCGATGGATCTCAGATAGCCACAATCGGAGAAATCAACCTCAATCTACAAATGGGTCCGTCCTGATTTAATGTTGAGTTACAAGTACTTGATATATCTGGTACTTACAATCTATTGTTGGGACAGACATGGATACATGCAGCCGGGGAAGTGGCTTCAACTCTGCACCAGGCTGTGAAGTTTGAGTGGAATCATCAAGAAGTGATCATTCATGGAGATGGGAGCAACCCCATCTACAGCAATCAGACTGTCCCAGTCATCGAAAACAGAAATAAGTTGGGGGGGGAGAAACATATCATCGCATTGAACGGGTTAACGCAATTGAAAAGGACCGATGGTGGAGCAATAAGATAGAAAGAATATTGCTGTGGACAGGATACGAACCAGGCATGGGTCTTGGCAAAAAGCTTCAGGGAATCACCAAACCCGTACAACCACAGTATCATGGCACGACCTTTGGACTCGGATATGAATACACATGGCAAGAATATCAGGATTGGACACTGCCGTGGCGTGCTCCTTATTATCTACTGGAACAACCCGTATCACTTTTGCACCAGACATTCCATCAGGCAGACATGATGTGGGGGTCTGAGGAAGATGAGGTTTTGGCTGGCATGAGGAAGCTGTTTCTAGATGAAGAAGACATGGACTGCAGTGCAATTGTTGAAGAGGAGGATGAGGAAGACCTTACTATTCAAACCATGGAAGAAGGAGCTATTCTCAAGAACTGGACCACTGCACCATCCCGAACTCGCTAAGTTCCTGGGTAGCCTGGAATATTAGCATGAATTATTTTCAAATAGTTTTGAGCATTTAAGAATATTTCAATATTTTGTTTGAAATAATTACTCGAGCCATCGAGTCGTACTTGTTGACATTTTAAAAGTTTTTTTAAGGCATTATTGTTTTACATATTTATCATTATCTTTCCACATTATTTTCAGCATTATTATTACATATCCTGATAAATCTATGTCTGTGACATGTAATGAGACAACGCAACATAAGGACAGTGATTTGGAAGATGTGGAAGATGATATAATACAAGAGGAAATCATCAAAGAAGTAGAGAATTTTAAAAACAAACCAAAGTCTAATTTGGAAGAAACTGAGGCCGTTAACTTTGGGGATTCCGAAACAGTCAAGGAAACTCGTATAAGCATTCATCTATCACCATCAGAGAAAGAAGAGTATATCAGATTCCTAAAGGAGTCTGAAAACATCTTTGCATATTCCTACAATGATATGACTGGTTTAAGTACATCCATAGTAGCACACAAGCTACTCATCAATCCCATGTGTCCACTGGTGAAGCTGAAGCTCAGAAAGTTCAAGCCAGATATGAGTTTGAAGATAAAAGAGGAGGTCACCAAGCAAATCAAAGCCAAGGTTCTCCGAGTGGTAGAATACCCGACCTGGTTGGTCAACATTGTACCAGTTCCAAAGAAAGATGGGAAAGTTAGAGTATGTGTCGATTACCAAAATCTGAACAGATCAAGTCCTAAGGATGATTTCCTGCTGCCTAACATACATATACTGATTGACAACTGCGCCAAGCATGAACTCCAATCCTTCATGGATTGCTTCGCAGAATACCACCAGATTTGGATGGATGAAGAGGATGCCGAAAAGACTGCCTTTATCACACCATGGGGAATATATTGTTATAAAATGATGCTGTTTGGTTTAAAGTATGCTGGGGCCACCTACATGAAGGCCATGACAACTATCTTCCACGACATGATACACAAGGAAATAGAGGCTTACATGGATGATGTTATCATCAAATCTAAAACGAGTTCGGATCACATAGTAGACCTGAAGAAATTTTTCGATCGGCTTTGAAAATACAACTTGAAATTAAACCCTGCAAAGTGTGCCTTCGGAGTTCCTGCTGGAAATTTGTTAGGTTTCATCATCAGCCGCCGAGGTATTGAGCTAGACCCGTCAAACACCAAAGTTATCCAGGACCTACCACCTTCAAAGTATAAGTAAGAAGTGATGAGTTTTCTAGGGCGCCTCAATTACATCAGCCACTTTATAGCACAATCAACGGTGATATGTGAGCCAATCTTCAGAATGCTGAGGAAAGATGCTGCAACAAGCTGGACTGAAAGCCTTCGTCAAAATCAATGAGTATTTATCTAAACCGCCCGTGCTGGTCCCACCAGAACCAGGAAAACCTCTACTTTTTTATGTGTCTATGTTGGATGGGTCTTTTGGTTGTATTCTAGGATAACATGATGAAACTGGAAGGAAGGAGTAAGCGATATATTATCTAAGCAAGAATTTCACGACTTACGAAGCGCGATAGAACGCACTTGCTGTGCTTTGACATGGATAGCCTATAAGTTGAGACATTATTTCTGTGCGTACACTACATATCTCATATCAAGGATGGATCCGCTGAAATACATTTTTCAGAAACCCATGCCTATGGGTAAGTTATCAAAATGGCAAATATTTCTGAGTGAGTTCGACATCGTCTATATAACTCAGAAGACAGTCAAAAGGCAAGCATTGGCGGATCACTTGGCAGAAAATCCCGTATACGGAGAATATAAACCATTGAAAACATATTTTCCCGACGAGGAGGTATCGTTTGTAGGAGAAGATATTACCGAGGCATACAATGGTTGGAGGATGTTCTTCGACGGAGCAACAAACTTCAAAGGAGTGGGTATCAGAGCTGTCTTAGTATCAGAAACCGGTCAACACTATCCGGTATCCGCAAAACTCAGGTTTTCATGCACCAACAATATGGCAGAATATGAGGCCTGCATCCTGGGGCTCAGGTTGGCCATTGACATGAACGTTCAGGAGTTGTTGGTAATTGGAGATTCAGATCTATTGATGCACCGGGTTCTAGGAGAATGGGCTACGAAGAACACCAAAATATTGTCATACTTCCAAGGATTCCGAATGAGTTTGCAGATGCATTAGCCACTTTAGCCTCCATAATACAACACCTAGACATGAATTTCATCGATCCTATCCCAATAGGAATTCATAAACAACCAGCTTATTGTGCTCATGTTGAGGAAGAGATTGACAGAAATCCGTGGTTCCATGACATCGAGGAATACTTGGAAAGGGGAGAATATCCAGAGCACGCTACACACTCAGAAGCGCACGCTTCGAAGATTGACCAATCATTTCTTTCAAAGAAGAGAAATTATTTATAGAAGGAATCCTGACTTGGGATTGTTGCAATGTATCGATGCCAAGAAGGCGTCTAGATTGCTCGAGGAAATACATGCTGGAACTTGCAGACCCCACATGAATGGTTTCGTTTTGGCCAAGAAGATATTAAGAGCAGGATATTTCTGGATGACTATGGAAACAGAATGCATCAAATATTTTCAAAAGTGTCACCAATGCCAGATATATGCTGATATGATACGAGTGCCGCCCAACGAACTCAATGCAACGAGTTCACCCTGGCCCTTCTCTACTTGGGGTATGGATGTCATCGGACCAATTGAACCTGCTGCTTCAAATGGACATAGGTTCATTCTGGTGGATATAGATTACTTCACGAAATGGGTTGAAGCCGCATCCTATAAGGCTGTAACTAAGAAGGTGCTAGCAGATTTTGTTCGGGACATCATCGTTTATCGATTTGGATTACCTGAGTCAATCATTATTGAAAATGTCGCCAATCTCAACAGTGACTTGATGAAATCCATGTGTGAAACATTCAAGATCAAGCATCGAAACTTTACAACATACATGCCGCAAATGAATGGAGCCGTAAAAGCCGCTAACAAGAACATCAAGAAGATATTGAGGAAAATGGTAGACAATTACAAACAATGGCACGAGAAGCTACTGTTTACTTTGCTCGGGTATCACACCACAGTTCGTACATCCACTGGGGCAACCCCCTATCTACTGGTTTACGGTATTAAAGCTGTTATTCCTGCCGAAGTAGAAATACCTTCCTTAAGAATTATACAGGAAGCCGAGCTCACCGTCGCAGAATGGATACGGAGCCGGTATGAACAACTAGCTCTCATTGATGGAAAAAGAATGAGCGCAGTATGTCACGGTCAACTCTACCAGAATAGAATGGCAAGAGCTTTCAAGAAAAAGCTTAGATCAAGGCAATTCACACCGGGGCAATTGGTACTGAAACGGATCTTCCCACATCAGGATGAAGCAAGGCCCTTATATGGTTCACCGAGTGTTAACAGGAGGAACACTTATACTTGCAGAAACGGATGGAGAGACTTGGCCAAAACCTATCAATTCGGACGCAATCAAGAGATACTATGTTTAAGACTATGTTTGCATTCTCTATTTGCCGTAATGGAACTACGCTTGACCTGATTCCCGTATAAGAGGGGATACGTAGGCAGCCCTGTGGGTTCGGTCACATCATAATAAAATCTTCATACCCCATATGGTTAGAAACTGGGGCAGGATCTCGAGTTTGCCCGACCCTATCATGTTTGAAATCACCAAGTAAAGTAACACAGGAAGTACGCATTTAAACAGGGGTAGAATTTTGAGGATCCTCGAAATTCCGAGTTAAGGAAGTACGCATTTAAACAGGGGCAGAAGTTTGAGGAGGATCCTCAAAATTCCGATTTAAGGAAGTTGCAATGTCTCAAAAGCATGTCATAGTCATCAATTCAACAAATTATCTGCTCCCATGCATTATCACATATTTCAAAAACAACTACATTTTATACAAGCAGTTTATCACAGATGTATGTTTTTCGAAAATTTTATTTTTTTAGCAGCCAGGCATTACCCGGGGTAACTCAAACAGGGCCTCCAAACAAGAGCAAAGGCAAAGCAATGAATCAAGAGCACAAACCAACCTTACCCCCCGCAAAACTCACAATTATTCTTTGGATGCAATCACAATGAACATAACAGGAATGACCGCAAATACATACACACAGATCACTATCTTCATAACGATAAAAGTCACCAAACGCAAACACGTCAAGCTAAGAAATGCTTTATCCTCTCGCATTTAGTCATTGTTTTTCTTGCATATGGCTAAGCATTGTCCTTATCGTTGCATAGGGTCAAACACTACCCTTACGTTGCATGAGGCTAAGCATTGCCTCTACACGGCATGAGGCTAAGCATTGTCTCCATCATTACATAAGGCTAAGCTTTGCCTTTACTACGCACGAGACTAAACACTGCCTCCATAATTTCCATAGGGCTAAGCACTACCCTCATTATTGCATAAGGATAAACATTGCCTTTCCTACATATGATAAACACTGTCTCCATAATTTGCATGAGGCTAAGAATTGCCTCCAGAATTTCATAAGGCTAAGCATTGCCTTTTCCCTGCATGAGACTAAACACTATCTCCATCTCTTGCATGAGGCTAAGCATTGCTTCCAGTATTGCATAAGTCTAAGAATTGCCTTTCCTTGCATGAGACTAAACACTCTCTTCATCTCCTGCATGAGGCTAAGCATTGCTTCCAGTATTGCATAAGTCTAAGAATTGCCTTTCCTTGCATGAGACTAAACACTCTCTTCATCTCCTGCATGAGGCTAAGCATTGCCTTTCCTTGCTAGAGACTAAGCACTGCCTCCTTTCCTTACACGAGGCTAAGCATTCCCTCCATCATTGCATAAGGCTAAGCACTGCCTTTCTTTGCATGAGACTAAGCACTGTCTCCATTCCTTGCACGAGGCTAAGCATGGCCTCCATTGTTACATAAGGCTAGGAATTGCCTTTCCTTGCTAGAGACTAAGCACTGCCTCCTTTCCTTACACGAGGCTAAGCATTCCCTGCATCATTGCATAGGGCTAAGCACTGCCTTTCTTTGCATGAGACTAAGCACTGTCTCCATTCCTTGCACGAGGCTAAGCATGGCCTCCATTGTTACATAAGGCTAGGAATTGCCTTTCCTTGCATGAGACTGAGCATTGTCTCCACTCTTTGCATCGGGCTAAGCACTGCCCTTATCTCATACAAGACTAAACCTGATCTCGTCTCATTCTCACATACGACTAAGAATCACCTGCTTCCTTTATCAAGCAATACATATTACCACATACTTGCATCTCATGGGCTGAAACATCCACATTGTCCGAAGGCATCATAGTCCAAAGGCACCATCCTCATAGCCTGATGACACCATGCCATGGCCGGAGGATCTCTCAAAATCGCATATCATTATTCAAAGGCGTAATAGTCCAGAGGCACCATCCTCATGGTCCGGGGACACCATTCCATGTCCTGCGAATCCCATATCATACACTTCATGGCCCAGGACATCATAGTCTAAGGACCTCATCCTCATCGTCCAAATACAACTCTCATAGTCCAAAGGTAATTTGTATCATGGTTAAATTTCCTCAATCACCCATATATGTTCACATGCATCGTGTTTTAAGTTTTGTAGTTAACTCAGGAGGAAGCCATTATACAAACAGGAGCAATTCTCGCTCCGATTTCCGTTCACAACATTCACGACACTATCCTACCCAAGAGATCCTTTTTCAAAACATATGACCACTCTTATAACAACTCCATCAGTTTCGTTCGTCGTTGGATCCAGAACTACACACGGTTTGATTTTCGTAACACCAGGGATATGTAGGCAACTTAAGAACAAGGGTTTGACCCCCATTTTTTCAGAAACACATCATCCTCACTCATTTCAGTCAAAATTGGTCATCAATTTCTTTACCAGGCAACTCTTTCATCATTCCCGTATAAAGAGGGGCAGCTGTTGATACACAATTTTGCTCCATATTTTATAAATATCATATATACTTTTAAAATATCATTTCTGCATCATCACCAATTTACAAGAATCATATAAGGACTTTCAGTAATTTTTCATAATTCTTAAGACTTTAAAATTGATTTTCTCTTGCATTTAGATTGTTTAAATGTTTATTAATTATCCTTTCAAATTATTCTTTGATGACTTAATCATCCAAATTTATTATCTACACCTACATGTATGTATTATAATATTCTACTTCATTTTATATAACAACAATTGTATTGTTTGAGCTATTTACACAATTTTACAATAATAGCCTATACTCTACAATTAATTGCATTTATCATTTCATTTAGGGTCAAAATAATATTTTCATATTTTTATAATCTTCAACTATTATTTTAAAGTATTAAGTTTCATAAATAGTATTTTTTTATATTTTATTTAACTATTTTATTAAATTAATTTCCCTTAATTTCTTGTATTTAAAATCCAGCCCAATCCTAAGCCAATATTTCGGGCCAAATTAATGGCCCAACTACCCCAAACCTCATCCCAATAACCCCTAACCCAATACCAGCAACCCATTACCCTATACTCGTCCGCTAACCCAATCCGCCACACATTAAATCATGGCCGATGATCTCAAAGATCAACAACCCACAACCTCCCCCTTATTGTTATTACCCAAACCCCTGAAACCCTAACCCATTACCTCCCAAATGGCCGCCCCAAATTACTCTAGTTTCCCCCTCTCTTCTAAGAAACCCTAGCAGCCGCCTCCCCTAATCTTCTCTGATTCCGACCTAAAGTATGAAATCATTCTGTGATTCACTTACCTTATTCGTAATACCTCGATATTATGTATGCGTCTGTGGAATTACTTGAGTACTTGCTCGATTTTGGCAAGTATGACCTTCTGAGATCGGACTAGATCAACTTTGATCTATGGAATTTGGACGATATTGTGTCTATATACATGAGAGAAAAGGGTGATTCTCGCCTTTACTTGCTGGCTTGCGACCCAGGAACCCTAATTAGGGTTTGGAATTTGATTTCTTTCCTTCAACAGTTACTCTACTGATTGCATGTAATATTTTCCTTTTTCTGGTTTATGTTTTCTTGATTGCTTTCCTTGATTACTCACGTGATTCAACACTATATAAACTCATATCCCAAATTCCCCAAGGAGGAGACATTAATCACTATTATTCTTTTACTCTTTCACTCTATATTGTTCTGAACTTTGGCTCTTGGCTGACTGAAAGCCAGGGCCACCGGAATTCGACTAATTAACCTTTTTTGGTGCGAGCACTGCCCGGGGTTCATCTGAAACCATTGGAAACTCTGACACACTTAGATTATAGGTTCTACTGCTCTTTGTTGACATTTGGAGTACTGTTGAGATTGTTCTTCTTGTTTATCTGTTTATCACTTGATAACTGGTAAGTTTCTTGGCCTTCGCAGTTTCATTCTCCTTCATTTGTGTTCGTATTATTTACACTCATGCCACTGAAATTTGTGAGTTAATATGTTTCTATGCCACCTATGTATGCAGCCTTATTGGCTCTGAAGTTGTCTTGTGACTCTGAGCTTTTTCTAGTATTTGAACTTGCTAAAATTTCCAACTCTGATATGTCAATTACCTGTGTTTAATATGAATGATTGTTGGATCTCTTAAGCATGTTTACCTTAATGTCTGTGTTTGAATGCTTTTTACCAGTTACTCTCCCTGAATTTATCCCCTACTTTATTCTTCATCCTTACGATAGACAACTCATGTGTTCTAATGTATTTGATACTCTACTGCGACCAATTCTTAACTGTGATGTCAGCCAATTATGAGCTTTATTGTGTGTTCCATGCTTAGTTCAATCCTGGGTGGTTTAATAATACTTATAGTCTGTAAGGTAAAATGTAATATCCAACCTTTATGTGACAATCTAGCTCTTAATGTGTCTTTGTATATTGAGAATTCTGGCTCTACTAAACCTATTTAGTTTACTATGTTATGCTGATGTTTGTTGTCAATCTTACTTTCCTACCTTGTCCTGAATTGTTATGTCAACCAAACTCATGCTTAGGAAGTAATTTCATCCATGCCTAACTTGTTACTCTTTTGGTCCTGCCGTTCATAAGGACCTGTTATTTTGCTGAATCCTGCACTCCTTAGTACTAGTTCAGACCTTAGGAATAAATTTTACAGCTGACCTTCTTTCACCATATATGGCAAAATAGTATTAGATTTGATGCTTACTTCTCTTACTGTTGAAGTTTGATATTGTCTCTTGTACTGTGATAACTTTCTCTTATTAAGTAATTGCTCGACCATGAACCTATACTGTTAATTTCCATGTTGAACTTACTACATTGAGGTTGTTCTTTATTGCTCCCTTAGCTTTTCATGATCAAATCCCCTATTTGAAAATTGTCTTAAGCTGTTTTTGGCCATGCTAGTGTTTGAAACTTCATTCGAAAGAGTCTGTTATCCTAGGATAATCAATCATGTCCCCTTAAAATTCAAGCATGAACTCGTCTTGTATGTGTCCTGCCAATATGTCACATGATTTTGTCTATACATCTTGGTGATAATTAGCTTTACCAAGATGCTGGGGCAAGCAAAGCTGACCGGAAGCATCATTCTGGTGGCAAAACTTTTAGCTGGATTCAACTTGAGAAGTGTGACAACCCGAGGAGATATTTTGTTGCCCACAAACGCCGAATGATTGATCAAAACAACTCTATTCGAAATGGTAAATGGCGATATGGGTTATAATGTAATCCTCGGAAGGTCGTGGACACAAGAGATGAAGGCCGTACCCTCAACGTATCACTAGTTGTTAAAATTCCCAACCCTGGAAAAAATCAAGTAGATAAGAGGAGACCAACCAGTGGCAAGGGAGATGAACGCAACAACTATTTCGAGAAGCAAGGGGAATGGTCCTAGCAAATAGCAATTACAGGAATCGATGCCTTTCCCATTCCCGAATGAAGACGATAAAGGCGAGGAGTCATCAGAATCCCACCAGGTGCCAAGATATTTTAAGGTACCAGAGGAGACGAATGCGACCAAGTTGACCGCGCAAGAACTCGAGCAAGTGGCCCTATTCGAAGAATTTTTGGAAAGGAAGTTTCACTTGGGAACATGACTCGATCCCGAAATCAGGTTAGAATTTACAAATTTTCTTAAAGCTAACGCAGATTGCTTTGCATGGTCACACTTGGATATGACAGGTATCCCATTAGAGGTGGTCGTTCACAATCTGCGTCTGGACCCAAATTTCCCACCGTTAAGGAAAAAGAAACGTCTGATAGCTGAGGTCAAGAATAGGTTTGTTAAAGAAGAGGTAACTCGACTACTCAATATCGGTTCCATTCGGGAGGTAAAATATCCATAATGATTATCCAATGTAGTTGTAGTTCCAAAAAAGAATAACAAGTTTAGGATGTGCGTAGATTATAAGTATTTAAATAAGGCGTGCCCTAAGGACTAGTTTCTGTTGCCAAACATTGATCAAATGATTGATGCTATAGCCAGACACGAGTTAATGAGTTTTCTTGATTCTTACTCCGGGTACAATCAAATCAAGATGAACTCGGAGGATCGGGAAAAAACTTCTTTCATAACAAACTTTCATATATTGTGACAATGTGATTCCTTTTGGGCTTTAGAATGCCGGAGACACTTATCAGAGGCTCGTTAATAAAATGCTTGAGAATCAGATAGGCAAAACATTGGAAGTATACATTGATGACATGTTAGTCAAGTCTTCGAATGCAATAAATCGTTTGAAACATCTTCAAGAAACATTCGACGTTCTGAGGAAGCATAACATAAAACTCAACCCGAAGAAATGCGCGTTCGGGGTTAGTTCCGGTAAGTTCTTGGGATTCCTGATTTCGCAAAGATGGACCGAGGTAAATCCCGATAACATCAAAGCTATTAAAGACATTCTGGACCAACTAACGAGTGTGAAGGAAGTACAGAGGCTAACCGGGAGGTTGGCGGCTCTAAGCAGATTCAACTCAAGATCCTTAGAAAAGTGCCATCACTTCTTTTCACTTTTGAAAAAGAAGAACGATTTTTCATGGACTTCGGAATGAAAACATGCACTTAAAAACCTAAAAATATACCTGTCCATAGGGGTGTACAAAGAAAACCAATAAACCACATCAAACTGATAATTCGAGTCAAACCGAAAAAAACCCGATGTGGTTTGGTATTGAAAAATAAAACCCGACCATAATTGGTTTGGTTTGGTTTTAACTAAAAAAAGTCAAACCGAAATCAAACCAACCCGATAGTATATTTATATAATTTTTAAAAATATTTTATACATATAAATATTTATTGTTATGTAATTTAGAAATATTTCTTAAACATTTTCACAGTTTTATCTTTTAACGTATTATTCAAGTTTAGATTGAAAATTCTTGAATGGTAAATAAATTTTATAGCCCATAAATGTAGTAACTCAAACAAAGTTCGAAACAATACTAATGCTAACAAAAAAAATTCAATTCAATACTAGAAATGACGATATTGTTGGATAATTATTTTATTTTTACACTAGTTTATAATGAAAATGCATAACTTAGTTTATCTTTTTCTTTAGTTCTTAGTTATGTAATTAATATTAGTACTTATTAGCTATACTTATTTTAGCATGGCCTATGTTGTATTTTTAGATTATGTTAGTTTTTATTATGCTTATTAATTAGCAATATTTATTTTATGTAATTTTATCTATGTTATTGAATATTTTAGTATAATGCTATGACTTATCTCATATTATTGTGTTAGTATATTGAAAAATACGTTATATATAGTTGTATTTTACTAGGACTTAAGAAATATTTGGAGCACAAGTTACATATTTTATGCTATGAAGACTTTACCAGAAACAAAACCCGAAAAAATCCAAAACCCCCGAAAAACACCGAGATTGAAAAACCCGACTTACTTGGTCTGGTTTGGTTTATAAATTTAAAAACCCGACACCATTGGTTTGGTTTGATAATTGAAAAATTCGAACCAACCCGACCTATGTACACCCCTACTTGTCTAGCCCCCCGTTACTATCAAACCAGGGGAGGGTGACAATTGTTGATATATTTAGTGGTCTTGGAGGTATCAGTATATGCAGTTTTGGTCAGAGAGGAAGAATGTACACAATTTTCCATTTATTATGTTAGTAATATACTTTCAGGAGCAAAGACTCGCTATTCGCACCTCGAAATGCTGGCCTTAGTTCTCGTAGTCGCCTCTCGAAAGCTTAGGTCTTATTTCCGGTGCCACAATCTTATATTGTCGTTGTGACAACTTTTCCTTTGAGGAATGTCCTTCACAAGCTTGAATTGTCAGGCCGTTTGGCTAAATGGGCATTCGAGATTAGTGAATTCGACATTGAGTACAAGGTCATGAATGCGATCAAGTCACAAGTTCTGGCCGAATTTGTGGCCGATTTTAGTCCCGGATTAATGCCCCTGGCTGCTAAGGAAGCAGTTCTGTGTCGGAAAAGGCATAGGGAGTTTGGACCTTATTTACAGATAGAACTTCCAATGCAAAAAGGTCTGGTCTCGGGTTAGTTCTAATCACGCCCTCGGGGAAACCATGAGGTAGGACATTAAAACTATTCCGTTAACTAACAATGAAGCTGAGTATTCGTCTTTGGTTATAGGATTTGAACTAGCCTAGGGACTAGGCTCTGAGGTCATCGAAGTAAAATGCGAGTCCCAGCTGGTAGTAGACAAAGTGTATGGGATTATCAACGCAAAGGAAGAGCGCATGCGAAAATATTTGAACAAGGTTTAGGCATTACTTACGTGATTCATGGAATGGTCTATCATCCACATTCTGAGGGAGGAGAATGTGGAAGCAGATGCACTGGCTAATTTAAGGTCATCCACAGAAATGAAAGGATCTGACTCTGGTACTGTCATCCAACTTCTACATTCGATAATGGATGTGGACGGTTACTACGAAGTCAATTCAACCAACTTAGTCTGGGACTGGAGGAACAAGTTCATCGAGTATCTTCGGCATGGTAAATTACCCGAAGATCTGAGGCGTCCCGGGCACTATGTACCAAAGCAAATCGCTACTGCCATCGTGGATGGGCATTTATATAGAAAATCATACCAAGGACCATTGGCCCGGTGTCTGGGGGCCTCAGAGGCGGACTATGTGATGAGGGAAGTCCACGAAGGAATTTGCGGGAACCATTATGGTGCACACTCGTTAGTGCTAATGTTGATTAGGGCAGGTTACTATTGGCTTCAGATAGACCAGGACACAAAGACGTTTATTCAGAAGTTTGATAAATGTCAACGCCATGCATAGTTGGTGTGCCAACCAGAAGAACCCTTGAATTAGATGTTGTCCACATGGCCATTCATGAAATGGGGAATGGACATAGTTGGTCCTCTACCACTAGGTCCCGAAAAAGGTAAGTTTTCTTTTAGTTTTAACTGACTACTTTACTAAATGGGTTGAAGCAGGTCCTTACCAAAAGATCGATGAACGCGAAGTGGTGGACTTCATATGGGACCACATAATCTGCCGATTTAGAATACTGAAGAAAATTGCTTGTGACAGCAGGCCTCAATTCGTAGGCTCAAAAGTCGCCAAATTTTTGGAAGGATTGAAAATCAAGAGAACTACATCTTCACCATACCATCCAAGTGCTAATGTGCAGGCGGAATCAACCAATAAGGTAATTATTCAGAACATGAAAAAGAAGTTAGAAGATGCTAAGGGCAAATGGCCCGATGAGCTAGCTGGAGTACTATAGGTATATCGGATAACGGCGAAGTCGAGCACGGGATAAACACCTTTCTCTCTCGTGTATGCTGCGGAAGCTCTGATACCGGTGGAAGTGGGGAAGCCGACTTTACAATTTTCCGAACAAATGAAGAAGCAAATAATAAAGCGTTGCTGGTGAGGCTGGACTTGCTCGATGAACATAGGTACTTGGCATACGTGAGGATGGTGGCTCAAAATCAAAGGATGGAAAGATATTATAATCACATGGACAATCTCCGTTACTTTAAGGTAGGAGACTTGGTTTTGAGAAAGGTGACTCAGAGCACTCGAAAAGTCAATGCCGGGAAGTTGGGACCAACATAGGAAGGTCCTTACTGGGTTTTGGCTATCACCGGTAAAGGGTCGTACGAGTTGGAAAATCAAGATGGAGTCAAATTTTCCAGCAATTAGAATGTGACTCACCTCAAAAGGTATTATTGCTGATAGGTCCTACCAATACTGAAAGTATATGCTATACTCTTTTTCCCTTCGTCTAGTTTTTGTCCCAATCGAGTTTTTCTAGCAAGGTTTTTAATGAGGCAGTAACGAAAAACATACTAAGAAGGGAGTGTCATCGGCAAAGGAAAGACCTTTAGATATCATGGCACGAAAACTTTCACATCGATGGTAAATAGCTATGTGTATGGTTAAATAATCTTTGGTATGATGGCAAGCTTTTCCTTCCATCACTAAATAAGGATTACTTAATCATTCACAAGTTGTTTCCATCGATGAAGCAAGACTTCAAGTATTCGAATCTGCATGCTTCATATTCGAACACTAGGGGGGATATAATATCTGATACGACACCAAAAGTGTCACGCACATCGAGGATTGTTAGAACCGAGATCAATAATGTCTCATCAAGGCCGAGGACTGCACGATCAGCCCATAAAAATAAGTTGTAAAAGTTAGCCACATGTATTGGCAATTTTATTTTAGCAAATAAATGCTTATGTACTTTTAAAGATAGAAGGAATAAAATAAAGTCCTTTTATTTTTATCTTATTTCTTGTCTAAATGATGAGTTAATTTTATGGTTTGAAAGTTAACTAAAACTTCAAATTCTTGTACTAGAATGAACATGAGACGTCCTCTTCAAGAGCACCATAAAGATAAGGGCCCTTTCTTATGAAACCCTCATAGTAAAGGGTAGATTCTGGAAGAGTTTATACCCCGAATCAAAAGCTATCGGATGAAAATATACTTGAAGCTTTAATCGACTAAACACAAAAGGAATATTTTTGCACAACACTTAAGCAAAAACATTCTTTACTTATTTATCAGGTGCCAAACTCGGTGAAAGATTTGACACAGTTACAAAATATAAAAAAAGAAAAGAAAAAGAAACAAAATAAGAAGAAGATATACATCATTGCTGCCAAAACCCGAAGGGAGAGATGGATCTACATTTCCCCGGTAGAGGAAGGCGGATTCAAAACTACCGGTTCAGGACCTTCATCTTCTTCAGTATCCCCTTCGATTCTCAAGTACTCGGAACCAGTACTCGAGGAGTTACTCGTAACGGGCCGAACAAGAAGATTTTGGTGAGCAGATAACTCTAGTTCTCGGGCCTAGGCAATACAATGGTCTATGTTGGCGATACCCACTTTGGCCTCCTCCAAGGTCTTCCTCTTCATATGGTATATGGAATATGTCTTCTCAGAGACTAGGGAATCCTCTTGGTCTTGGAGTTTATCCTAAAGTTTATCGATTTTGGCATGAAGCTCTTTTCTTTTAGATTTCATAGCACGGAGGCGGGCGTCGAGCTCAACTTGAGTGAAGCCGATTTTGGTACATGACCTCTTAAGCCTCTCTTCCATTCAGGCCCTCTTTTCCTCAACAACATTGGCCTCCTCGGTTTTGGAGCTTAAGTCTGCCTTCAAATTATTGATCTGCTCCTCGAAGGCAGACTCGCACTCGGCAGCAGCAAGCACATCGTCATGGAGCTCGACCCACTTAGCCTTAGCATCTTGAAGTTTTTCATGTAATTGAGTAGATTCATGGTTGTGGGCCATTTTATCTTGCTCGCTCTGCTGCAACCGGGCCTCAAGCTCGTTCATCTTTGCGGCTTTTACCTCCAGCACCAGGAGGCACACGACAAGCTGGTTCCTTTTAGCTAAGAATTGATACCGCTCGAAAACAAGTCCTTGTTTATCAAGGATCAATCTCTGCAGACTCTCAGAAGGGAGAAAGTTGGCCTAAAATAGAAGGTTGAAATTAGGATTATCATTGCAACATGTAAGCAGAAAAGAAAATACGAGGAAACTAGTACGGTACCTGTGCCGTGTTATGCATTGCATTGTTTATCAAACACTCCCCAGAAAGGTAGCGCATTTTCTTCCAATTTTTTGCCGAAACCAGTGTCTTTATTTAATTGGCGAGCTCCACCGGCCTTGAAAGGACGTGACAATCCTGTAAAATTGAAAGAGTGGCGTTTCGCCTCCCTTGGGTTTTTTAGAGAAGGTACAACATAGTTGCTCCCCAAGTTCCCATAGTCGGGAGACCAATAGGGACAAGCATCCCTCTCTTGTTCAGATGGTACCGGTGGATGAGATGTAGTTGTTGCTAGTGGCGAAGGTGCAACTAGTGTCGATGGGCGTGAACTCATCGGTGTGGAAGGTGAAGAAGCAGCGGTGGCAGAAGAAGTATTAATTGTTATTTGCTTAGTGGTTAGAGGCAGAAGAGGCCCAGGGTCCGAACTCCTTGGACCTGAGGCAACAATGGGGGTCGGAAAGCGAGAATCGGCATTCTCGACCAAGCACATCTCACCCCAAAGGGCCTTAACTTCATCTGACGTCGGGTTTTGAATCTCTCCCGGCTAAGCATCCGGTTGAGTTGATGAAGATATTTTTCTCTTTTGAAGGGAAGTATTTTTATCACTGGCTTCCCCTTCATCAAGAGGACCAATGTCACCAGCTCGGATGACATTTTCTTTTCTCTCTTCTCCTAAGTCCCAGCCAAAGAGGGGCATTTTTTCTTCAATTTCTTGTCCTTGGGATGGAGAATCCGAGAAGAGGCATCCTCACTAGAAGCAGATCCTCGAATTTTGCTTCGGGCAAGGGCATTTTGCAGCACCCTCCTGGCGTCTTCAGGGTCAACTAAGACGTCTACTTCGGGGCAGACGATAGAGCCCCTCGGAATCCCTGTATCAAGCAAAAATAAAGTTAGCAATTTATCTATTCAATAGATTTCTTGTGTCCGAATGAAGATAAGGGAAAGAGTGACTTGTATTACCATGGTGTTTGTACTTCCACCCATATTTTGGGGGCCATTTCCTTCCACCGGTAGAATTCTGGAGTCGTGATTTCTAGAATTTTCTGAAGCCACTAGTCCAGGCCTTGAACCCATGGTGGTTCCCTTCGGGTAGCTGAAATGACAGAAACGAGAAAATCAGTAACAACGGAAAATAATCTTTTCACGAAGGAAGGAAGTGAATGATCGAAAACTTACGAAAGTTATTCCACGACTCGGGAAAAGTTGGAGTTGTGGCCGAAAAGATGTCCCTGGTTGCAATGATGATGAATCGTTTCATCCATCCACAATCGTTGTTATCGTTTACGCTGGTGAGAAGAGTGTGGTGACGACACTTGCTAAAATTTATTACTCCCCCACGAAAACTTTTGGGAGAGTAAAGGTTCATTATATGTGCAAGAGTTATGGTTTTCCCGGTCTTCCTGCACAGTTGGCGAAGGCAGGCCACCGTCCTTTATATACATGGGCCTACTTGCGCTAAGCTGACCTGATATCGGTGACAAGACTCCAAAATTATTGGGTCGAGCCCTACTCTCGACCCCAGGGAGAATGGACCCAAGGTAAAGGGGTACATATAGACATACGTAAACCCCTCCTTGGAGAAAGTAACCTGATCTATCATATCCCGGGCAAGGATT